ACTGGGCCCGCTCGAGCAAATCGACGATCAACGGGAGGGCCTTTACCCTTTACCCTTTACTAAAAATGTAGTTTTGTAGCAGAAATGCCTTGTGGGGTGATATATGCCTTATCTTCCTTAGCTCTACGTTTGCTTCCTGCCCTGAGGTGGTGTCTTCTGGTGGTGTGGGTCAATGCTTGCTGCTCTCCTGGACAGCACTGGTGTATTCTGGGTTTTCAGAAAGAATATAGGTGCTGCACTAGATCATGGTACAGTCTCAAGGTTAAGCAAAATGCAAGAGTTTTTGAGGAAATATGTAGGAAATTGGCAAAAAAATTTTAATTATATAGCAGCTTAGTTCATGTAAAATGACTCTCACAATGAACTATTCAAAACTAGAGTGCTATTATTTTCCTTTAGTTTGAATTTACTAGAAGCTTTTCTCTTTTGCTTTTATTTTTAATACTTCTTTATGAATTGCAAATTTAAGGCAGCCATTTTCTTTCTATGCCATTCCCTTGCTTCACCTCTCCTCTTTTCTGAAGCATTCTCCTCCCCTGAGATTCCCACTTGCCTGACTTTTCACTTGACGCTTTCTGCTTCTTTCTCTGAATTTCAATGACTCTCAGTAACAGTGCCTATTATAAAACATTCAACATTCAGCTAGTTTCATAGTTTCTAATACACCAACTCTCTCTGTATCATAGAACATGATGCTTTAATATAGTGTTAATTGGTTTATACATGTTCATTGTCTTACAATTAGTATCAATGAGCAAAATGTTCATTCTCAATGCACTATTAGAGTGTATATGCCTGACTCAGGAATTGAACTAAAGAAGTCACCAGACCTCTCGAGAAATTAATTCCTACCATGTAGAAGCCACTGTCATTGTTCACTCAAGTGTGAACCAGAGGGTAAATGTTTCAATGTACTACTTTTGGTTATATTTTGAACTTATGTCTTCATAATGTTAGTCAACATTGTCAAAATAGTTAAGTACAAAATTAATAAGGCAATCTGATTACCCTCCTCTAGAGTAAATTTACCTCAATAAATTGTTTTATTTGAAAGCATCAATTTTTCCACAGTATATGGTACAATGTGAAACTAATGGCTCTCATGGTATGATGCCTCTTGGTAGGCAAGCTACCAAGTGGTGAAAAGTATAAGCTAGGTTTCTCAATGATTTTTAGACTAGGGCTCCCCCAAATGTGCCATTTTGGCTTGTGGATTTGGTTTTATAAGTTGCAATTAGTTGAGTTCCTGCAGACTTACCAAAATAAAAATAAAAATCTTCACCACTGTACTAACTGATCAGAAGAATGTAAAATTATAGGAAGAAAATCTAACCCAGAATTAGGTTTAAACAACCTAAAACAACAGTCCTTCCTGAATAACCATAGCTTGAGGCAAACATCAAATTACAGTACAATTGCTCTTTGTCCTGTAAATAAATTCCTCTTCAACATGTAAGCCCACCCCTGCCTCATTTTTTATCTCAAGCCACTTTGCTTTTCTTTCCTGGGGTCCCTATTTTTTGTGGACTTTCAATATGTTAATAACAACAACAACAAAAACACCTCCCTCCATCTATTCCCCTTCCCCCCCCCCCATTAAACTATTTAATCTTAGCTTAACAAGAGAACAGGGGGGCAGAAGAGGAAATTTTTTTCTCCTCCCTTATAGTGATGATTCCTCTCTCTCTCCATCAGTAACTCTAGGTTCAATCAGGTTATTTGCTTTGACCAGTAGGACATAGGCAAGCACATGATGCTGCCATCACTCAGGGATATTTGGTTTAAAGATGAGAGATCATAGTACATGAATAGAAAGACCAAGATTTCTAGCTATCGGAGGTGAGCCCAGTCCACAAGGACACTCTGGACAGCTGTTTATGGGAGTCTAGAAGAGAGCAAAAGAAGAATCAGTTTCATGAGTAAGAGAGTTTGCTTCTTTATATATACTAGTAAGTGATGATAAGAAAGATGTTTGTCATTTTTCTTAAGCATCAAATTCTCTTTGTAAACACTTGGAAAAAACTAGAGTATACAGAAAAAACATATTACCATTATTTGCATACCATCAATCTTATTACTAGTATATATAAAGAAGTAGTCATGGATAAGAGATCCATTTACACATATACAATGTGCTTTTATGTCCCATAATGTATATATTTTTATAGCAAGTGATAGAATAAAACGATGAATATCATCTAATTCTTCTCCTTTATAAGTTATGTTACATTATAACTTTAACAAAAATTTTATTCTACCTTTGTGCTTTTGGCAGCTGGAAATTAGAGGAAACTATTAACTATTGAATTTGACCATTGTATAACACTTTGGTTGATTGTATTGGGAGCCTATCCACATAATATCACATTATAAAAATATAGAAAAATTTAATTGTACTTAATTTTATTAGTGGAAGATAAGAGAAAGAAAGTAGTGGGGTATTAAGAGAGATAGAAGTAGTACTTTTCTGGTTATATTTGTAAGAAACAAATAATTGAAGAATCAAAAATATAACTCACCAGGCCATTTTCTTGTTTCTTAAGAGTTTCCTATGTGTGTTTCTATTGGCAAAAAAGTATTTTAGGAGGCTAGATATTTCTAGCACATGGAATTATTTTACTCACCAGACTAATCATATAGCCATTTTTTTAATGGAAGAAACTTCTTTCTAGCTACTATTTCCTCTTTATGCTGAATCTTAAAGTTTTTCAGGACTGATAAAATATAAATATTATTTATGTTCAAGTGATATTTCTTCCCTTATTTCAAAATCTTCATAGTAATATGTCTTTTTATTTTCTAAACAAATAAAATCTTGAACCTTCTTGATTCAGACAAGAGGATTAATAAAAATAACTTTTATCACAAAGTATCTCTTCAATTAAAATTTGTTATTTTGTGAATTCATTTTAGAGGTGTCCCAAAAATCTTTCTTAATATGCATGATACCACAAGTAAATATTAATCTTAAAAACCGGAATACCTTAATTCTAGACTCAAATGTTTAGACCCCATAATTCTTACTCATGTGGCCTATAAGCAAGTAATTTAACTTCTCTAATTAGCCTTCACCTTAAGACATGAGCTTACTAATATCTTCCCTTTTAACTTCAATGGTTTTTGAAGAAACAAGCAAGATCATGCAAAGTATTAATTGGCATTAATTATACCTGCATTTAACAGTAAAGTACAATACAACTGAAATTATAACTAAATTGTAATTTTAAATATTTTTATCTATAGTTTCTACTTATTTATACAACATCAAACTTTGGCACTCTCTAAAATGAAGAATATTATTTGGGTACAAACAAAAAATTTAAATCTGTCACTAATAAAGCATGAAGTAATGACATTATAATATGGACTTTCATGCTGTTTTCCAAAGTCACAATGATATTACTAATCTTCTAAAAGTGTTAATCATTATGTGAACATTTTCAAGGTGACATTCTACCCCCTTTTGTTGCATTTCAATTATATCTGAATTTCTTGCTAATAATATTCTTTAGCATTTGATAAGAAAGATGTTTATCATTTTGCCTAAGCATCAAATTCTCTTTGTAAACACTTGGAAAAAACTAGAGTATACAGAAAAAACATATTACCATTATTTGCATACCATCAATCTTATGATTCACTCCAAAATATTATTTTAATCATTTGCATGATAAAAGATATTTGTTTTTCAAGAATTGATCTCCTCCCTGATGCAATTTATCTTATATAGGATTATGACTTCAAGAGAGGAAAATCAGCAGGAACAGATGAACTCTTTCAAATAAAGATCCTGTTTTCATGCAAATACCTCTAATAGTTAATCCAGAGAAAAAAGAAAGTCATACACAAAATTTCCTGACAAAATCCAATGGAAGTTTTTAAGACTGAGAAGGTTTTTATGTTTTGACTTAACATCTGAAGTCAGTGAAGTTTTGCGTTAGTTACTTAGTTACTTTGATCTTTAAAATTCTATGTGGTCAGTGCTGGTGACTTTCAATGAGGCCTCTTTATGTTTCGACAGCCTCAGAAGGGATCAGGGGAATCTCAACATAATTGTTTTTGCTCAGACATTTTCATTTGAAAATGGTTGTTGTATTTGAGGGTGGGAATAATAATGTGTGTATTAAATATACAATCATGAATATATGTATGTGTGTAGAAATGCATATATTTTTTATTTTGCATAACAACTATTTATCATGGATTTTATATAACAATTATATAATTATATAACAATTATAAAAATATATACATTGACTCCTATTCTTGACTAACCAACAATAACAATACCTACCTGTTATATAGCATATAATGTTATACTTGATTAGCCATATGTACTAAACTACATTTCTCTGACAAAATAGACAGTAGTTTTTAATCATTCCAAGAATGGGAATCAATTATTATTATCAAATAGCTTTAACCATCCTTTCTACCTGACAAATATTATAGTTTCACTTAGTCCACCTCTGGATGATGTTTATTGTGTATTAAGAGCTTTCAACTCTTTTAAAATAAAAGGTTGGGGGCTGGAGCAATAGCACAGCGGGTACGGCGTTTGCCTTGCACGCAGCTGACCTAGGTTGGATTCCCAGCATCCCATATGGTCCTCCGAGCACTGCCAAGAGTAATTCTTGACTGAAGAGCCAGGAGTAACCCTGGTGCATCCCCAGGTGTGACCCAAAAAGCAAATAAATAAATAAATAAATAAATAAAATAAAAGCTTATCCCACTCTTATTTCCAAAATAATTCAGTAAGCATTTTCAATTGTGTTTTATTACTGCATCTTTGCTCTGTGTGGTGTGCAAAGGACAACTTGACTGGGTTGTTGAATCTGCTTCCAAAACGATTCACTCATGTGCTGCCAAGTCTGGTGGCTAGAAACTCAGCTGGATGGTATACAGGGACCTAATTTACTTTCCAGGTGGGTCCTGTCATAGGCTCATCACAACTCAGTCCTATTTTCCTGTGAATGTATAAGCCACAAGACAGGAAGGAGAAGACTATACTTTCAGGAATCATTGCTATAGTTCGTTACTAGAGAAGTTTTTCTGATCATGTAGCACAACCGAAACCGCGAAAAGAAGCCGAACCATCCGCTTCTGAGCGGGAAGGCGGTTCTAGGTGTCGCTTTTGCAACTGTCTTTTACCATTGATGATTCTTCTCTTTCCTAGAAGAGAGAGAGGGAGAGGATACAGTCTGAGTGGCTCCGGGTATCTAAAGCAAGAAACAAGCAAAAGACAAGAAGGGAAGTTAGTAGTCACTTTTCATCTAGAGTGAGAACCAGCAACTTTATTACATTCCCATAGTCTTAGAGCCCAGCTCATACTCATGGGAAAGGATACAGATCCCACATGTAAATAATAAGACGAGTAATTCTGAGTACTTCTAATGTACCATGATTTCGGCTTTCTGCTTATTAAAAGATTAAATTTGTTCTATTTTTTTAAAAATCACCAATAAAACTTTATCAATTTGCTGTTTGTAAAACTAAAAAATTCCTATTTTTTTTTCTTTTTGTTTAACCTAAATACATTTAGCACTTGTAGCACTGTCCTCCCGTTGTTGATCGATTTGCTTGAGCGGGCCTAGTAACGTCTTCATTGTGAGATTTGTTGTTACTGTGTTTGGCATATCAAATATGTCACAGGTAGCTTGCCAGGCTTTGCCGTGCGGTGAGATACTCTTAGTAGCTTGCCAGGATCTCCGAGAGGGGTGGAGGAATCGAACCGCAGCCTGCCAGGTCAGCCATGTGCAAGGAAAACGCCCTACCTGCTGTGCTATACTTTTTATTAAAACACTTTTTTTCAATTAAGATAACACTGGTTTACAACAGTGTGTTAAGTTTGTTTATACATAAATGCTCATATGTTTTAGGGTTACAGTGTCCTAGAGGATATATGTACTGTAGGGGTACCCCACTCTCATGATCAGAGTGCTAATCTTTTTTCCTTTGTGGGTAGTTGGTGAGAATCCTTATCATTCTCTTGCTATGCCATTTTAATCTGTGTGATGCCTTAAGGGAAGCTAAAAGTGAAGACATAGTAAGAATATTGGATTCGATATTGAATGGAATGATGTTATTTCCTAGATGTGACTTGTGACTGAGTTAATAAAATGGTAAATTTGTAATTTACATAAGCTACTGATTATACAGTGGCACCGTTTCAGAAGATAGGAGTACTGGATACATGAGTGTTATTTGGGATAAAGGCTAACATTTGCACAACATCCCTAATCTCTTTTTAGGTTTTCATCTACTTGGAACCTCTTACACAGTATGTGTTCCTTCCTGTTAGCCCAGACTGAATATTAAGTTTTTAAACGTATTCCTTTTCTTTTAGTTTGTCTAAGATATTTGAAGGTTGCCACATGCATATTTGAGTTTCTTCCTTGGCCTAAACTTATTTATATTTAATAAATGGAGGTAGATGAAGATGAACTCAGTAGCTATGAAAATGATGATGAGGCTCTGAACTCTTAAGTTCAGACATCAAGGCAAAAATGTCTTTTCTCAGAAATAGAAACAACCAGCCGGGTCAGTCCTGTTAATAATATTCTCCCCAATTATACTAAATCAAAAGCATATTTGTGAACATGATAAATTTTCATTTATTTACTTAGCTGTATTTATATTTACTTTCATGATAAATAATGAAATATGCAGAAGCAGTAAGTTGATGTGCAATTGTTTCTGTAAATCTCACAAAGTCACTGAAGTTTTGAATTGTAAGTGTGATCTATATATAGGAATATGAAAACACAACCACCGTTATACCTTCAGGATATCCACAGGATTACAGCCTAATCATACGCCATCCTAAATAGGGGAGTGTGGACCTTCCATGACCAATAAATGAGTATTCATGAATGGTACAAACTGTACTTTCAGCCTCATCTGTGTAGGCACAATTCATCTTTTCTCTTCTCTGATGATTCCTGAATATGTTATGAACTTATTTATTAAGATAAATATACTATTTATGCATTAAAAACAGCTTTGGCTGTAAATTACTCACATAAGTTAGGGAGAAGAGTGAACTAACTTTCAGGGGTTAAAATTTCTGACATTTGCTATGTTTCTTCTTCTTGCCTGCTTTCACTCCTAATCCTTTTCTTTTCGGTTTGCTGTAGATACATCTTTCCCCCTTTCCTACTCTCTGTTCTGTAGGGAAGGAAAGAGTTTTCCTCCGACCACTGGGGGATCTCCTCTTGCTAGATAAGCAAACAGTTAACATCAGAAGTATTAGTAGGAGAAAAAATATATATGTATCCAGGAAATTGACAGAGATACGTATCCCAGAGAAAATAGGGCATAATGGAAAGTAGGGAAAATAGTATACATTCTGATCTAAGGAATTAGCTAGAAGCATTAGACTTCTCAGATAGAAAAATCACCTGGCAACTTGTTGAGACTCAATAATTAAGTCATGACATATAAGTTATTCATATAAAATGATTATTTCTGGTAAATATTCTTCTGTGTAAGACCCTTAATTTTTATTCTCTGGGTAGTTAAGGTAGTGACAGCAGTTTCTTGTAATCCTATAGGGCCTTTGTTGAAGTTTAAAATAATCTATAAGCCTGGCCTTTTCTGATCAACTTTGGAAAGTTTGCCCCAGGGAAGTTTATTCTAGCCATCTTAAAGTCTATCTTTAAATTTCATTCAGACTGAGGACCGAATATTTTTTCCTACATTTTTCTATTAATGGCATAACTTCAGATAATAAATAGAACTTGATTAGCCTAATACCTTTTGTCATATGACTCTTAAAATCAGTGGATTTTAATTAGTTTGCCTCTGGGTGCTACAGGTTCAGCAACAGTGAGTAGCAACAATATTTCTTTTTCTAAAACCTTTTCCAAATGAACTGATTGACTACTGGCTATTAATAAATTGATGTGAGACACAGAATTAAGGAGCAATAATACTGAAAAGATGAAGTAAAGAATGACTACTTGTTTCAGATATAAAAGTGAAATAAAATGTCTTTGTCCTTTTTTATTAACAGTCTTTCCCTCAATTTTTTTTTTTTGAGTCACACCTGGCGTTCCAAGCCGCTCTCTTCCTCCTGCGCAGCTCGGCTGCCAGGTCATTTGTCATGTTGACCTGTCAACCTAGGTACACATAGCTGTTGCATTCGGAGATGGTCATTCCATTGAGAGCGAATGGGGCATCAGGAACGAGGCTGTTTCTCATAAACATTGTCTTCGTAAGATTCAGCTGTAGTCCTACCTTTCCACATTCACGGTCAAAGTTGGCCAGCATTTGTGCCGCTTGGCTGATGTTTGGTGTTATTAAAACAATGTCATCAGCAAAGCAGAGGTGGTACAGTTGCCGACCATCTATCTTCACTCCCATTCCTTCCCATTCCAGTCATCGCATGATGTTCTCGAGGGTGGCACTGAAGAGTTTTGGTGAAATGGTATCACCCTGCCGCACCCCTCTCTTGACATCAACGATCACTTCTTTGTAGAATGGTGAGATCCTGGTAGTGAATCTGCAATACAGCTCATGGAGGATCCTGATGTATTGGGCTTGAATGCCCTGATTGGCTAGGGCTTCAATGACCGCTTCTGTCTCAACAGAATCAAAGGCCTTCTTTAAATCAATGAATGTTAAACAGAGTGGCATCTTGAACTCACGAGAAACCTCAATGAGCTTGGTTATCGTGTGGATATGGTCGATGGTGCTGAATCTTTTGCGGAACCCGGCTTGCTTGCATGGTTGTCCTTCATCTAGTGTTCTGCCAATCCTATTTAGGATGACTTGAGTGAACAACTACTTCCACTACCCAGCCGTCGCCACACTTCAGGACGCTTTCCGGACCCATGCGGCCGCGCGACACATCATAAGATACTACATACCCATCTTCCAGAATTGTCGTACCGTATTTGATAGGGTTCAAATATGGTAACACCTACAAGGGTGATTAGAGGTCGCCCCAAAAGCCTCTATCCCTCTCGGAAAGACTGGCAAGCTACCGAGAGTATTCCACCTGCATGGAAGAGCCTGGCAAGCTATCCGTTGTGTATTCGATATGCCAAAACCAGTAACTACAACTGGTCTCATTTAGGTCTCAGTCATGTAAATATCAAACACATTTCCCTTTACCAATACTTATTTTTAACCGCGAACCCCAATAGAACCCCACCTCCCACCCCTCCCAATTCCTGTGAGGCAGATGAGTTCTAGTTAACACTCTATCTACTTTGACTAGATTCATTGTTTTGATAAAGGATGCACCATTATTATTTAGAGTTTACGACCCTCCCCACCCTCAAATCAGACATACTGAAAAAGCGTTATGAAATGATTTGCTTTCTACAGCTGGGTTTAAGAGTTAAATGATGTCGATAGTGGCTGCGCGGTTTTGGATTTCTGCTATTTTACCTATTAACCCTGGAATTATTTCAATTAAAAGTTAGATAGTTAAGAGGTTGGTTTCTGTGCTCTGGAGTCATGGCCGTGCTGGAGAGCCGCTTGTGGGGAGCAGCTTGAAGGATGGACCAGAACGCCCCCCTTCCCATGAGGTCCCTGCCACCCCCGACCCCCGGCTCAAACCTGCTGTCCACAAGACTCCCGTGCGGCTGCCATCTTTCTTTCCAGAGAGGAGAGGGCGAATGGGGAAACACCCTTTTTCTTCCAAGCAGGCATGATGGTTCGGTTTAACACATAGTCCATTCGCTTTTCTGCTCCAAGCGGCTGGTTTTCTGCGCTAAGTCCTTGTGCTTCTGGGGCCGTGGCCATGCCGGAGAGCCGCTCCGGGTCAGGGTCTTGATGAAGAACTTTGATCATCTTGTAGATGGGTGGCCAGGCGATTGTTGACATCCTGTGGAATCTATGCAGTAACAGCTCTAGTTCAGCAGTCTTCTCTGAATTGCATTACGTGTCTGGCCCATCTGATTTTTGATGCCTTGGCAAACAAGACAGTGTTCCTGATTTTTTTTTAAGTAGAAATACTACTATTTATTCGCCACTGATTAGCTGATTGAATTGGGCATGAACTCCACCTTACTTTTTTTTCCATAATTTTATTTGTTTATTTATTTTTTCTTCTTATGTTTATTTATTGAATCACTGTGGGAAATGTTACAAAGCTTTCAGGTTGAAGTCTCGGTCATACAATGATCAAACACCTTGATTCTCATAACCAGCTATAGAAAACAAAGTATTTCACAATGCCTTTTCAGCAATTCTGATTGTT